TTTCTTGTAAACCCAATGCTCATCCAAACATTGAGTGAACCCGTACGACTTGATCACCTCATCAAAACGGATGTTCCAAGATCTTGAAGCTTGCTTCAGTCCATAAATAGACCGATTAAGCTTACACACTAGAAGCTCACGACCTTCAGCAATGAATCCCTCTGGTTGCTGCATATAGATGTCTTTCTGCAGGTTCCCATTAAGGAAAGTTGTCTTGACATCCATCTGCCAGACCTCATAGTCCATATGAGCGGCTACAACCAAGAGAATCGGAATGGACTTAAGCATAGCTACTGGCGAAAAGGTCTCATCATAATCAATACCCTCGATATGGGTATAACTTTTCGCAACAAGCCTAGCTTTAAAGGTTTGTACCTTCCCATCCGATCCTCTCTTTCTCTTATAGATCCACTTACATCCAGTGTGTTGTACCCCATCGGGTGGTTCTACAAGATCCCAGACCTAATTGGAGTCCATTGACCCCATTTCAGCTTTCATTGCAACATTCCATGAATCTGCATCTTTATCTTGGAGTGCCTCATCGTAAGTTCTTGGGTCTGATTCTAGGCCTCCTGGAACTGAGTCCGATGACTCTCCAAGACCTATCCATCAGTCGGGTAAATGAAAAACCCTCCCACTGCGACAAGGCACTGTCTGCACTGGTACACTCTCAGTGTGTCGTGTTGCAGTATTATGTGATGTATCTACTTGCGCACTCGGTGAGGAACCATTGATTTCACCCCTTAACTCCTCTAAGACTAGTCTACTCGCGGGCTTATGATTCATAATATAGTCTTCTTCCAAGAATCTAGCGTTCGTCAAAACGATCACCTTCTGATCCTCAGGACTATAAAATAATCCACCTTTCGTTCCCTTGGGATAGCCTACAAAAACTCGTGCTTCCGAATGTTTCTCCAACTTGCCAGGTTCCTGCACTAACACGTGTGCAGGACTACCCCAAACTCGAAACTGTGAGAAACTGGGTTTGCACTTTTCCACATCTCATAAGGGGTAGTGTCAACTGACTTCGATGGAACCATGTTCAGAATATACGATGTCGTTTCCAATGCCAAACCCCAGAACGAATCTGGTAACCTCGAATAACTCATCATAGACCTAACCATCTCCATAAGAGTCCTATTTCTTCGCTCTGCAACCCCGTTTTGCTGGGGCGTGCCGGGTGCAGTCAGTTGGGATTCAATCCTAGCTTCCTATAAGTATGTCTTGAACTCTCCAAAGAGGTATTCGCCACCTAGATCACAACGAAGTGACTTGATACATTTACCATGAAGTTTCTCCACAACTGCCCGATACTCCTTGAATTTCTCAAAGCATTCGGACTTGCGGTGCAACAGATAAACGTACCCAAATCTCGAGTAATCATCTATGAAAGACACATAGTACTCGAAACCTCCTCTAGCCTGGATCGACATAGGACCACACAAATCAGAACGAATCAAACCTAGCACTTCTTGGCTCCTATACCCCTTTGCCGTAAACGGCCTCTTGGCCATCTTACCTTTCAGGCAGGATTCGCAAGTTGGATAGTGCTCTTCCAATGGACCGAGATGTCCACTGGCCACTAACTTTTGAATCCTCCTAAGGTTGATGTGCCCAAGTCTAAGGTGCCACAGATATGCTTGATTCATCTGCGAAGACTCCTTCCTCTTTTTAGATGTAGTTATGACATTATTCAATTCATTATGTTGCACTGTGGGAGAGTTTAGTTTGAGAACATACAAATTGCCAACTAATGAACCACAACATATGAAACGAGTTCCAAAACGAATAATAACCATGTCATCAAACGAAACTGAAAAACCATCCATAACGAGTTTAGAAACTGAAACAAGGTTCTTTCTAAAGCTAGGAACATAAAGACAATTTCTCAAAACCAAACTACTACTATCAAACGATAAAGTAACGTCTCCCACTGCAACAGCCGCCACTTTCGTAGCATTGCCCATGTAGACGGTGATCTCTCCCTCCCTAAGTCGCTTGGTTTTCTGGAACCCCTGCAAAGAATTGCAGACATGATCAGTGGCTCCAGTATCTACACAGCAGGTTCTGGTAGATACAACCGCTAAACATGTTTCTACGAAATTAACGAGAGAGTTACCTTTCTTGAGGAGAGGGCAATCAACCTTCCAGTGTCCTAACTTGTTGCACTTGTGGCATCTTCCTTTCGGTTTCTTTGCCACAGCCTGAGGGGCCGGTCGTTGGTAAACCGGAGCATCATGTGCCTTCGCCTTTCCTGCAGAGTTCTTTCTCTTCCTGTCCTTGTGAGGCCTGGAAGGTCCAGCCTGCTCGGCGACTAGCACCTGAGGTGCCTAAGTGAATACGGCCTCCGCCGACTGTAGCTCTGCAAGCAGTTCTGAAAGAGCCATATGCATCTTGTGCATGTTGTAGTTCAACCGAAACTGATCAAAACTCTTTGGCAGAGATTGGAGCATAATATCAACTTGGGTTCCCCGTCAATATAACCTCCCATAACCTCAAGCTCATTGAGCAGCGCCATAACCCTGAGGGCGTGCTCCCTTACGGGTGTGCCCTCGGCCATGCGCGTACTCATCAGAGCACTCAAAGCCTCTTGCCTAGCAGCTCTAGACTGATGTCCGAACAGATCCCTGAGATTGAGAAGTATATCTGCTGCAGTGTCCTTAGACTGATGCTGATGTTGAAGAACATTCGACATAGAAGCCAGAATGTAACACTTCGCCATCTCATCAGCCTTCTTCCACCGTGCATACTCTTCTTTAGTGTACCAATTGGCTCGGACTGCAAGTTAAAGTTTGTATGATAAGGATTTCCTGGTGTTGCATGTTTTAATCACGAGAAGTCTAGAAAAGTAAATGAATTTTGGAAAAATATGGCCTTATTTGTTTAATAATTAGCAGTGAATGTGACGCCTTGTGACTCCTTTACTGATGCTTTTGCAGAACATTTTGTTTTTGAGGAGCTCATTGATGTTGATACCTTTGACATTGATATTGAGCGGCTAAGGTTTTCATACTTGTTGTTCAAACATGGAAGAATGAAGCAGCCAATATAGTCCGAGAGTGACGATGAATCCCCGAGTCTAGTGCCGACAAATTATCGGAATACTTTATTAGTTCCGTCCACTTAAGTCGCATCTGGATTGTGCATTAGGTTTAATGGTATTTTATAGCATGGATTTTTAGAACTTTCAAAAGGTTTTTATTCCTCTTAGTGCTATTTGGTTTAATTTATGGGACAGTGTGGACAAACTAAACTGTGGTTGTTTTTTTTAGATATGATGTGGATGGAAAACTTCGAGTATTTCTGATGTTTATCTATGACTACCAGGTTTCTTTTTTGTTATTTTTTGTATGGTATATTTTTTGTATTTTCTTTGGGTAAATGGCGATATCTCAATTGTTTTTTTTTTTCTTCTTTTGGATGTCTGGTGAAATGAAGTTTTACACTTCTTTAACTGCTGTTGTTACTCTTAGTATTGTCTGGTTTATTTCGTGGAACATTGATGATAAACAAATCGGTTCTTTATTTTTTTTTTATGGAATATTTGTAGTATTTTTAATGTTTATATATGACTATCGAGTTCTCTTTTTGCTAGGTTTTTTTATAGTATATTGTTTGGTATTTTTGTTGGTTATGTATGCATAGCCTGAATTTTCCAAGTTTTTTTATGGTATAATTTTTGGTATTTTATTAGTTATGTATGCATAGCCTGAATTAAATATTTTTTCATGTCTTATTATTTAATTAGATATTAGATATTCTTTCTGTAGTTTAAATTTCATACTATTTTTGTATTCTTTCAGTAATTGTTAGGTTTATTTTATGACTTGTTCGTTTTTATTTTTTTCAGCGAACTTTATAAATAAATATTAGAAATACAATACTTAATCATGAGATACACTTTTTTTAATTAATAGCTTTTTTAGTAACAAGTAATTACAATTGCCCAAACATATAATAGCAGTTGTGGGTAAATATAATCATGAGTTGTTAGTGGCAAACATATTAGAAAATAACTTATGAAATGAAACATCAATTACTTTAAAAGGTCTGAAAAATTAGGTGACCAACAAAATAGCAAATTGAAAATACTTGAAATTAAAAAAAAAAAAAAAAACATCAATTAAGCTTTGATCACGGGAAATAACATAGCGGAATGCTGTGATGTTTGTTTCCATATTTATGCAGTGCGTGTTGTTTCGCAAAAGAAGTTTATGCATTGCACAATTGTGTGATAAAAGTTTCTATATCGTAATTAAGGTACTGGTGTAAATTAAGGAGATACCTATGTCTTTTAGCCGTAAACTTTGTTGATCTCAAAGAAAACATTGCAACTAAGGCATGCTTGTTTATAAATTAATTCATTTTCAATCCAATTCATACTCAAAATCTAACTCAACTTTAACTCAACCCCATTATCTTTAATATTATTCATTTAATTAAATAATACAAACCAATCATCCTTACACATCACATCAACTTTAATTCACTATTCACCCACTCACATATTTTTAACTACCTATCATTTCTAATCATTTCCAATCATTTATCTCCTACTTTTACATCAAATTAATTTTAATCATTTTATTTTAAATATTATTTTAATACATTCTTAAAATCCCACTAACAACTAACCATATTACCTTTTTCAAAATTAACTCTAGTTAACCAAAATAACTCATTTTGAATGAAATATTTCATAAACAAGCGCCCCCTAAGATTTTCAAATTTGGAGAACCACTAAAAGAGCTTCATGCATACTCATCAGAACTGAAGGCTATTTTTCTATTTCTAAAAGCTATAAAGAATGATGAGAGTAATTAAATAATCATAATACATATTATCATTCAAGAAAGTTAAAAATTCAAACAATGTGTAAGAGTCATTAAACTTTTAACTGATCACTTGTCGTATTTAAAGTATGTCTTCCGTATAACTCTTAAAAGACTCTAGAGACTAATTTAACAATGATCTAAATTAGAGTAAAGTAATTAAATAAGTTGTTCGTCGCTCAAAAAATTCCCAATTCGCCGAACCCTACTTTCCGTCAATCTCCGCCGCTCATAGCCTCCTTCTGCCGCCGCCCAGATCGGCGGCGGACGCCTTTTCGCTGCTCTACCATGTTCCAGTCGAGGGGTTCTATTTTTCCCGTCAATTGCTTAGGGATTCAGATGGCCTCTTCGAATTGGGCCACGAAAGTGGTTGAATCTAGGCTAGGTCCGACGGCGTCTCGAAGTAGTTTGGAAGGAGGAGTTCTGGGTCTAGAGATGGTGGTGGCTCGGACGGCCTATGTTCTCTCCGGACTGAGGTGGTTTTTCCGACCGAGTCCTGAGTCTGTACTCGATCTTTTCCTCCAGTCGGGGTCGGTGTGTGTGTTCTGGTCACCGGCATCTCAGTGTAGCTGGAGAGCGTCTCGCTCGTCTTGGCTATATAGGTTCGTTAGGGCTTTGTATCCATTCGATCCTCTTCCTTCCTTGTTCTCTGATTCGGAGACCGAGGGAGGCCAGCTGTTCACGATTTTGGCTAGTGGTGTTAGTTGACTTCGGGATGGTGTCGGACTGGGCTAGTGGTGTTAGCCGGTTGGAGGGCGATTGTGGCTTCATACAGTCGTAGAGCGGGTCGATTCTTTCTGTTTGGTTCGAGGTTCAGGCCCTCGTCTTTGCTAGGCATTAGGCAGTGGCGGGCGTGGTGCCTGTGCTTCGGTTCTCTCCGTGGAGTTGGCCTATGTCTGCTGGTCAATTTGGACGTGCTGCCGAAGGAGGGCCTCGTTTTTAGTTTTTGTTTGGCTTTGTCGTGTGTTTTTTTGTAGTTTTTGTTATTCGTATGTTTCGTTTGTTTGTTCTTGTTCTGTGTTGTCTGTGTTTTAGGTTTGGACCGTTGGCCTCAGTTAGCCCGAGTGTGACTTTATTATCCTGTTGGGAGCGTACACTCGGGCATTACCCTGTTGGGGCCGTTTATAGTTTTATTTAGTGTTTCAGTGTCGTTGTGGTGTTTGAGTTTTTAGGTTACCCTGTTGGGGTCGGTTCTAGGCAGTCTTTAGGCTATCCTCCCAGTTTTTCAGCTGTTGGATGGTTATATTCAGCCGTTGGCTGTATGTATTCAGCTAGTGGTTGTACTTTCGCACTTTTGTGCTCTTTTATATATAATATCTCTATCGTTTCGAAAAAAAAAAAGTTGTTCCAATCAAATGTATGCATTTATGAGGATGGATATATGTTTTCATTAGAATATATATCTCTACGTCTAAATGTTAAAATATATGCTGATGTGTTTTTCATTATATATATATACATATATATATAGGATAAGGTTCAAATGAGGATCAAGTGCTAGTGTGAGAACCGCTATTTTTAATTGTACGTAGTGCTATGATGATTGTGTTTTAATGCTATTTTTAATCATGATGTATTTTAACTAAAAATAGCAACACAATTTATATTAGCATTTGTGAAAATAATAGCACAATGTAATATTAAAAATAGCATCATACATAATTAAAAATAGCATCAAATATGGTTCTCACACCAGAACTAATTTTTATTTGAACTAGTCCCTATATATATATATATGTATATATATATATATATATATNTNTNTNTNTTTATATGAGAGCAAAAGGCGTACCAATTGCCACATACGTCGATTTTGTCAGTTCCGTACGACCCATTAATTGGAGAGCAATAAACTAAAGGGTAAATAATTTTTTTCAACATGTACAAAACGTACTTTTGGCATTTTGAACCTAAAGTACTTTTTTCATATATATAAATTGCAATCTGAACTACATATATTTTTTTTTATTTGCACGCTCGCCCACATCTTGACCATATACATGTCCTTTTATGCAGATGATCGTATCATCAAAAAGTAGGTGAGCGTGCAAATAATGATGTATATTTAGTTCAGGTTGCATTTTACAAAAATAAAATAATAATTTAGGTTGAAAATCCCAAAAACACGTTTTGTACATGTTGGGAAAATATTATATACCCCTAAAATGATCTTGTATATGTACTATTGTACCCTTTGCAAGCCATAGTCGCACCTTCATCAATTTTCTCACCTGCCAAATTCACAAAATATATTTACTCTCCAGAAAAATTCGCAAAATATATTTACTTTGCAGCAAATTTCACAAAAATAGATAATTTGTTTTTTTTTTCGAAATTATAGATAATATAGACACAAAAAATATATAATAAAAAAACTAGTAATAGCAAATATGCCAAATCTGCTGAATCTATTGGAGGACTACTCAAGGGTAGCCTGGAAGCAACTACGCTAAACACACCCACAATACAATACAACTAAATACCTTTCCCAATGGAAGAATACAAAATCCTCCTAAGGGAGAATACACACTACTCAAAAGGAGAATAAACACACACAACAACGACAACAAAATACCATAAACAACACAACACACACCCCTTAAAACACAACACACAACCAAAAGACCCTAAGGCGGCAAATGTTAACTAAATTAGAATAATGCCCTTCACTACAAAAGTTTACTTCTCAATATCAAGAAATAATTTGCTCTGTCTCCATTGATTCCAAGTTGACCACCATTTGCAAGAATAATCTCATCAGTAATACATAGATCATAAAATATAAGTTGATGACATATGTGATTGTATTAGTTCAACATATATTTAATTGTAACACACAGAGTCACACAATAAATAAAATTAATTGTGCTAATAAACAATTTGAGTTACCATATTTGAGTGATCTCCTCCACCCCGTTTGTCCACGCACACACGATATCTCTCTTTTGAATGAATCCAAATCCTCTATCGCACCATTTCTCCCCCAACTATTCATCACCTCAAAATAGTTTCCCTCGTAGGTTTCATCACTACACCCCATTAAAATACATTTGTGTTTTGCTATTTGCTGGACTGTCCTATCTTGACCACCCTGATTATGAAAAACTCCCACTCGAAGATACCGAAACTCACAAATTTCATTAGGATGGTAATCCCCCAAGTTTTCTCTCACCTTGAGGCCATGAGTGGGCATTCAAATAATTGTTCCCTTAATAAACCTCAAAAATCAAATTCATAACTACGAATTGTTGCAAAACCTAAGGTCTAATGAACTAATGGTTCAAACTACGAATTATTCACCACGTTGTGCATCAATATAAACATACTTTGCATGGTTCAAAGGTCCATCATTCCTATAGTGATTCACAAAACCAACCTCGTGTTCTCCTAGAAAATCCACAATTCTCTCATTCAGGTTTTTTAGCTCTATGTTGGAGAACCTATTTTATCCATCGCCTAGCGAGTCCAAGACATGAGATGACGAAAGTTTACCCACCTATTTTGTACCATTGTACTTGCAAGCCATGATCTCACCTTCATCAATTTACTCTCTCGAACAATCCGCAAAATATATATCTACCTCTGATAAGTTGGACTCGAAATTAGTTAAGTTAATGTGCTTGATTTGTGGTCCTAACTATTAGGCTCAGTCATATTATGTTGAAATAATGACTTTCCTTGTCTTTTTCAAAATAATATTTATATTAATGCATGCCCTTAGTATTAAGTCAAAGACACCATATTGGTTTCCTTATTTTACGCCCTTATATGTATTTTTTGATTCATTCTCTGAGGCAATTTTTTTTTAATTTTTATATATTTCTAATTTCTTCATATTATGGTTAAACAGTGTGTCAGTTCCATTCATTTTCTTCCTTTTCTACCTTCTTTTCTTTCCACGTTCTTTATCCTCTCTTCTTCTTACCATTTTTCTTCTTAAATCTAGCATTGATTCTATTCAATTACACATGTGACTCATCCATACTCCATACTATTCATTATGCAAAAACATAATAATGAAAAAATTATAGATATTAACCATGACACCACTTTTAGGAAAAATTAGGCACAACAAATCAAACAGTTATAGATAATCCAGAAATAATTTATCCACTACAATAGATAATCTTCATACTCTTCATCCACTACAAAAATAGATAATCTTTTTTATTTTATTTTTTATTTTTTCTTTCAAAATGATTGATAATATAGCACCAAAAAACACATAATCACAACTAGATAACAGCTAGTAATAGTAAAGATGCCAAACCAGCTGAATCTAGTGGGAAGACTACTCACCGGTAGTATAAAAGCAACTACGCTAAACACACCCACAATACAACATAACTAAACACCTCTCCCAAGGGGAATACGCAAAATCCTTCTAAGGGAGAATACTCACTCTTCAAAAGGAGAATAAACACATACAACCACAACAACAACAACAACAACAACAACAAAACACCACAAACAACAAATCGCAACCCACTAAAACACCACACATAACCAAAATACCTTAAAACGACAAAAGTTAACTAAAATAGAAAAATGCCCTCCACGACAAAAGTTATTTCTCAATTTCAATGCTCTATCTCCTTTGATTCTCCATTTGATCATCATTTGTAAGGATAAACTCATCTGTAATACATAAATCAAGATATATATTAGTTTATAACATATGTGATTGTATTAGTTCAGCATATATGTAATTGTACCACACATAGACACAAAATAAATAAAATTAATCATGTTAATAAACAATTTGAGTGACCAGAGTTGAGTGATCTCCTCCACCCCATTGGTCCATGCAGACACGATATCTCTCTCTTGAATGAATCCAAATACTCTATCACATCATTCCACGCCCAACTATTCATCACCTCAAAATAGTTTCTCTTCGCAGGTTTAATAACTATACCCCCATTAAAATACATGTGTATTTCTCTTGCTTTATTTTTCCAACATTAAATGGTAATATCATTGATACTAAAAAATGTACATGTCGACCAACCAACAGGTTGGAAACGTGGTTCAAGCCTAGCAAAACACTAAGCTCAAGAGGCCCCCAACGAGGATGTTCACCATGAACTCCTCTACATGACCATGAAGCCCTTAACAACATCAAAACAACAAAAACAACAGCCTATACAATTCTACAAAAACAACTGCAACATACTAGGTACAAAATATCAAAAGAAAACACAGGCTGCACAATATTCTTAAGAACCTAACACTAACCAAACTGACACTAAACTATCAAATAAGCAAAATACATCATGAGCAATAACTTCAATATTCACATCAAAACCTTTCCTAGATTGAAGCATTTTAAACAGATTCTTATTCTGAACCCTCACCTCCAGCCTCTGCCACCCTTTTGAAACACCACACTCCAGCCAGCTCCTAAGCCTTAACAACACATCCCCTTATGAACAATCTGACCCATGTGCACGGTTTGACAATGCATCCTCTCTAAGTCAGTCTGGATGACAGTAGCACTAGTTGAACATCCATTCAACCCTACTCCATGTATCACCTCCACTGCACTATAGCCTTGTGCTTTGTCATTGCATCTGTCTCCCTTGCTACACTCCCCCTTTATCTCTGCATATTCCAGCCATTCCCCTTTTGCACCTTTGACAACATCTACCTATGAGCTAAAAGCCTTTTGAAACACCCAATTGTTGCGTGTTTTCCATAGCCACTATAACAGATATGTTGATAAAGCAATTATGTCCCTGTTATGGTCCTCATCTGTCATCTTACAAACCTCTTGCCACCAGCTTTTAAATCCACCTGTTGAGTCTTGCACATTTGCCCAATATAACCTTGCAATCTTCCACACTTTTTGTGCCCTATCACAGTGAAAAAACAAATGGTCTACACTTTCCTCTGCTTCTCCACACCAACAGCATATGACATCCCTTTTCATGCCTTTTCTGTTAAGATTGTCCATTGTGCCCACCCAATTGTGATAACATCTCCACAAAAAGTTTCTGATTTTTGGTTTAATTGGCAAACTCCAGGTCTTCCTCCACATTATCTGCTTCTTTTCAGCTGCCCTGCTAGATTCAGCTCCTCCCTGTCCACCATTTTTAACTCTCTGGATCATGTTATAAGCACACTGAACAGTGAATATGCCTTTCCTGTCAAAGTGCCATATTATTATGTCCCTCATCCCCCTGTGACTAATGTGAAGTTTGAGGATATTTGCAGCATCGGCAGGAGTGAAAGTCTGCAATATCAGTTCAGTGTCCCGCTCCTTTCCACCTGCATTCATCAAATCAGAGACTTTGCACAGTCTATTTCTATTATCCTCAAAGCAGCACACAGGCTTAAACATAGGAGAGTCAGGCAGCCATGGCTGGTTCCATAGGTCAATATGCTGACCATTACCAATCTGGTACCTAACTCCCAGTTTAAAGACATCTCTAACCTGCATCAAGCTTTTCCACATCCAGGAGTCACTATCTCTCTTATTAACCACCCAGACACTTTTATCATGAAAGTATCTCCCCTTAATCAACCTACTCATAAGAGTATTTGGTTTAGTCAACACTCTCCACAATTGTTTCATAATAAGAGCATCATTGAAATCCACTAAATCCCTAAATCCCAAACCACCCTCACAATTAGGCCTAGCTAGATACCCCCATTTAGCCAGTGAATTCTTTGACCACCTTCTTCATTTTTGCCCCACCAAAACCCTGCAATCTCCCTACATAACTCCCTATAAATGTCTGCTGGAATCCTATATACAGACATGACATACACTGGAAGGGCACTAAGGACTGTTTTGATAAGAATCTCCTTACCAGCTTCACTAAGAAAATTATTTGTCCAATTTGTAACTTTAGCCACAACTCACTCCCTAACAAAAGAAAAAGTATCCTTTTTATTTCTACCTATCCCTAAAGGAAGCCCCAAGTATTTGGAGTTCTTAGCTATCACAATCCCATTCAGAGTGTTACAGATATTCACTCTAACAGGATCAGGAGTGTTCCCAGAGAAAAAGATATTAGATTTGGATAGGTTCACAGATTGTCCAGACATGGAACAGTAAGTATGAAGAACTTGAATCACAAGGACAGCGTGGTGGGAATCTGGTTGACAAAAAAATAGGGAATCATCATTAAAAAAAAATGGGACACACTAGGGGCATGTGGACTGAACTTTAGACCAATGAAAGACTGAGAAGAACAAGCTTTTGTGATCAAATTTGACAAAACTTCAGACATGATAATGAAAAGATAAGGGAACAGTGGGTCCCCTTGCCTCAATCCTCTAGTAGGGGTCACATTTCCTAAGACTTGGCCATTTATATTGAAGGAGAAAGAGGATGAACTAATACAATTCCAAACCCAGATAAAAAAAGTTTCACAAAAACCCATATGTCTACATACTCTAATAAAAAACCCCCGCTCCACCCTATCATATGCTTTTGCCATGTCCAATTTTATGGCCATGAAGCATTTTTTTTTCCCTTTTTTCCTACTGTTCAAAACATGAATACACTCATTAGGTATGATCACATTATCTAAGATCATCCTACCTGGGACAAAAGTTGCTTGATTCTGAGAAATACAAACATGAAGCACAGTCTTAAGTCTATTTGCCAAAATTTTAGCAATCAGTCTGTAAGTAATCGTGCATACATTTATTGGCCTATAATCAGTCACTCTTTAAGGAAATTTGACTTTGGGAATGAGAGTTACTACAATATGATTAGTAGCTTTTGGAATGCACCCAGATTGAAAGAAATTAGAAATGGCACACACTAAGTCATGTCTAATCAGATCCCAGGATGATTGGAAAAATAATGGGGAAAAGCCATCAATACCTGGTGCCTTGTTTGGGTCCATCTCCCACAAAACTGCTTTAATCTCTTCTTCAGTTACAGTTCTAGTGAGTCTATGATTCATAGTAGGTGTGATAGATTTAGGAATGCCTTGCAACACCTCTGGGTTGAAATCTGGATCCTGAGACTTAAAAAGGTGTTCAAAAATATCTGCCACTTCTGTCACAATCTCCTCATCATTTTCACATTTTTTGCCCAATCTGGTGATCAAGTTTTCCAAACTATTTCTGCCCCATCTTTGCCTAACACACACCTGGAAAAACCTGGTGTTACTATCTCCTTCCTACAACCACCTCACCCTTGCTTTCTGTTTCCAGAAAGTCTCCTCATCCTTGTATGTCTAATGTATTTGTTTCTTACACTGCACCCATTCATCCCAATCCCTATATCCACTTTGTTGCCCGAACAGATCCAATTTAGCATTGCAAACTTTAATGGTATGGTCAGAGGTTTGACTTTGTCCAGCTAACCATCCTAGCAGCCCCATCTTTATACACCTCAGTTTCTTTTGAAATCTGTATAACCCTGTGCCAATAACAGTCTCATCCCAAGCCTTGGTAATGCACTCGGAGTACCCCTCAGCTTTCACCCATCTGCCATAAAAAAAAAAAAAAGAATCTTTTCTTTTTGCTATTACAGGTGCCCTCATTTTCCATAAGTAGAATATAGTGGTCAGAGGAAATTTGATGAATGTGCTGAACTGAGACATTTGGGTAGGATAAAACCCAGTCTGGGGATAAAAGAACCCTATCTAGCTTAACCTTCACAAAGTCTTCCCCTCTCCTATTGTTAGACCATGTGAAGAGATGTCCTGAACTAGGACACTCAATCACATTCAATCTAGAGACAAAATCCCTAAACCCTGTAAAGCTAGACTCAACCCTCCTCAGACCCCCCCTCCCCATTTTTTTCATCATTACAAAGAATGTCATTAAAATCTCCTGCCATAAACCAAAGCCTACCCCAACTCTGCTTATGCCCACACAAATAATCCCATTGAGTCTGTCTCTCTATGGGAGAGACACTGGCATACACAAACACAACCCACCAAACTTCAGACTCCCCTTTTCCACCTAAACCCCACTTCAAAACAA